TTTTTGCCATACCATTTCTCCATTCTCCCAATTTTTTCCAACCTCTTTTCGCTCATCTTCCTCCCCCTCCCCCTTCCTCCCCCTCCCTCCCCCTTCCGTAGTAGCGTAATATGTCACCACAAGAGAGACGCGGCGTTTCTCGAAAGCTGATTGGCTACCGCGGCATTATGCTGAAAGCTGATTGGTCCTCCGGTAATCGTCAGGAGGGCGGCGAGCAGAAGCCAATTTTTAATCATTAATGAATTTCTTGGAGGAAGAGACTTTGAGGGAAAATAATACGAGAGCAGGTGAGCCGTTCCGGGAGGAGGCATTTTCTTTTTCTCCTTTCTCTTTCCTTCGTTCTTTCATTTTCTTCTTTCTTTCTTTCCTTCCTTTGTTCTTTCATTTTTCTTTCCTTCTTTCTTTCTCTCTTTCCTCCCTTCGTTCTTTCATTTCTTTCTTTCTTTCTTTCCTTCCTTTGTTCTTTCATTTTTCTTTTCTTTTTTTATTCCTTTCTTTCTTTCCTTCCTTTGTTCTTTCTTTTTTTCTTTCCTTCTTTCTTTCTCTCTTTCCTCCCTTCGTTCTTTCATATTTTTTTCTTTCTTTCTTTCCTTCCTTCCTTCGTTCTTTCATTTTCTTTCTTTCCTTCCTTCGTTCTTCCATTTTTCATTCTTTTTTCTTCTTCCTTTCCTTTCTTTCTTTATTCTTTCTTTTTCTTTTTTTATTTCCTTCCTTCGTTCTTCCACTTTTCTTTCTTTTTTCTTCTTTCTTCTTTCCTTCCTTTCTTCATTCTTTCTTTCTTTAATTCTTTCTATCATTTTCTTTCTTTTTGTCTTTCTTTTTTCTCTTTCTTTCTTTTTGCTTTTTCTTTCTTTCTTTCTTTTATTCTTTCCTTCCTTCATTCATTCATACATTCTCTCTATCTTTCTTTCTCTCTTTCTCTTTCTTTCTTTCCTTTCCCTTCCAAGCGATACCTAAGATGACTGAGACGAAAGGGAGAGGCAGCGAAGGAGGAAAATAATCACGGAAATAAAACAAGAAAAGGGATTATTATTTTTGCTTATTCTTTCTTCATTTTCTTCTTCCTCTTCCTCCACATCTCCCTTTTTCCTCCATTCTTTCTCCTGCTCTTCAATCTCATCTTCTCCTCTCTTCTCCTCCTCCACTTCTTCTTCAACTTCTTCCCCTTCCTCCTCCTTTTCCTCTTCTTCTTCTTCTTCCCCCTCTTCCTCTTTCTCTTTCACTTCCTCTTCCACCTCCACTTCTTTCACTTTCTTGTCTTCCGTATTTCTTTTATTCCTTCTCTTTCTATCTCCTTCTCCTTCTTTTTCTCTCTTTCGCTTCATTTCTTTTTTTCTGTTTCCCTCCTTCTCTTCCTGTCTTTCTCTTCTTCCGCCTTTCTTTCAGTGTTCTTTCTCTCTTTCCGTCTCTCGCTTCTTCTATTTCTATCCCTCCGTTTCTCTCTTCATCTCTTTCTCTTCCTTTCTTTCCTTCTATGTTCGTTTTTTTTTCTTTCTTTCTCCCAGTCTCTCTATCTTTTTCCGTCTTTCGCTTTCGCTTCTTCTCGTTCTGTCTCTCCATGTTGCTTTCGTCTTCTCTTCCCCTCCTTCGCTCTGTTTTCATCTCTTTAATCCTTCCTATCTCTCCTTACCTATTGTTCATTCTCTTTTCCTCTCTTTCATTCTCTTTTCCTCTCTTTCCTTCTCCCTTTCACTCTCTAGCCTTGTCTCTCTTTCTTTTTCTCTTTCTTCATCTGCATCTTTTTTTTTCGTTATCTCAACTCCTCTTTCTAAAACTCTCTTTATTTCGTTGTCGCTACCTTTATCTCGTTCTTCTTTTCTAATTACTTCGTTCTTATACTCTCTCTTTCGTTACCCTCATCAGATGAACAACTCTTTCTCTCTCTTTCATTTTCTCTTTTCCTATTTTTTTTTCCTTTCCCTCTCTTCATCATCCTCTCCTTCACCCTCGCCCCCCTTTCTCCCCTTCGCTCTTCCTTCCCTTTATCTTTTCTCTTTCACTCTCTCTCTCACTCTCCTTCCCTTTCTGCTTCTAAACAAATATGGCGTCACTTCAATAATGAAGAAATAAATAAATAAAATAAAAATAAAATGTTCCTATTATTCTGTTTTCTTTTGTTAATTACAACACATTTTTATTTTTGCCCATTTTCCTTTGAATATTCGTACCAAAAGGGGACACTTAGCCATTTTAAACAACTAATGATAATAAGGGACAGAGGAAAGAAGAGAGAGAGAGAGAGAGAGAGAGAGAGAGAGAGAGAGAGAGAGAGAGAGAGAGAGAGAGAGAGAGAGAGAGAGAGAGAGGGAGAGAGGGAGAGAGGGAGAGAGGGAGAGAGAGAGAGAGAGAGAGAGAGAGAGAGAGAGAGAGAGAGAGAGAGAGAGAGAGAGAGAGAGAGAGAGAGAGAGAGAGAGAGAGAGAGAGAGAGAGATAAAGATTAAGAGATGTGTTTACCTGTACAATTATCAATATTTCCCCTTTCCCCTTCCCTTTCTTTATA